AATTGTTGCTTTAAAAAAATGAAGATCAAAAAGATTCTCGATGCATTCAAAACTAGGAATCTATATCATCCTAAGGTATAAAGATTATTTTTTAAATTTATGAGACTGAATCATTTTCTTGTGCTAACTGATGACTTGAAAATGGCCTCAAGTATTTTTTATGCTCATTGATTCAATATCAATCCTAGATTATTGCAATTATTTACCAAACAAACTTGTACTGATGATGTTGATGTAGTTAAAATCATGCTGAAGTGGTAAAAACTTTTGATGCAAAAAAAGAATTTCGACCTGTCAACTCGATTGTTCTGGTTTACTTGATAAAATACGATGCACCTTAGACATATTAAAATTTAGTTATCAAGCTTTTTATCTCAGTTACGTATTTCTATATAAATTCTATTACTTAGGTCTTGTTAGACGGATATATCAGATGTTTTTTATCACAAGTTTACCACTTTTGGCAAAAAAAGATTTTTTAATTGTGAAATAAACACAACGCTTATATTCAAGTGAAGGTTAAAATTTCAGTAGAATTATTTATATAAATGACTTTTTTTGTAGACTTGCTCTATGAAATAATATTAAAACAATTTTTCGTTTGGCTACAGATGGCGCTTTCATGTAGAAGAGTATGATATGATGATTTTACCTGTTTTACATATAAAAAAAATGCATATTGAGCGTACTTTATATGCTGAAATCTTTCATAAAGAGAAACAAAAAGCCAGATTGTCAACAATTCATGACGTACAAATAATTGAACTCTTATCATTCTTTTTCTATTTTTTATTGAAAAGAAAATAAGTATACGATACAACGATTATTTCATATTTTAATATTAAACTATTGGTTCACTCTCACTCGATCTTCAAAAACACTGGAATTTTTATTATTCATTTTATTCAAATAATGAAAGTAATTCCATTTACAACGAAGGAAAGTAACATGAACATCTCTCGAATACTCGATTGTGATTTCAAAAATTAGCCATTTCACTTTAGCACAATTACCTCGCGTTGCATCTCTTGTGAAGTTGTCTGTCACAGTTACCAAATTATCATAATCTACCTCTAATTCGGTTAGACGCGGTAGATGTGTTTTTTCAGTATTAAGAAATTGTTCAACATAATACACGTCCGCACGCCTGACGTTAAGTGATGCAAGATGAGGAAATTCAACTATTGAGTGTAATTGATTATATTGAAATTGTTTTGTTTTACTATCCCAGAAATGAAGCACTGATATACAAAATTCAAAACCATTAATTTCTTCAGCAATGGGAAAGATCGTGTAATTCCAATGAAGAATTCGTGTTTCAAAGGAACCGAATCTAACACCTTCAACGAAGTAACACGATTGAAAGTAATATTTGGAAACGTTTTGCCAATATAGTCGAGACGATCAAATGAAAACGGAAGTGAAAAGACGTGGCATGTGCCTGTATCACAGCTGTAGTTTACGATATAAGCCATTTGTTGGCATTGTAATTTATTAAAAGTTTGTTGCATATCGTTGATAGATAAGCGATGAACTGAATTATCAATATTAATCTCAGTACAAATTTAAAAGGTAAATGTACGAAGTTGTGGCATATGAATAAGTATTTCATTATAAAGACGTGTGCCATCCACGAATACAACTCGATTTTCAATGGAAAGATATAAAATTAATTCTTTGAGATGTGACATACGACGAAGAAGAGGTATAACTTGTGCGTCATAAGCTTCAATTGAATTGTACGTTAATGAGAAACACTTCAGATTAGGTAAATCATTCTAGAAAAAATGCAAAGCAATATTTCAGAAGAAAATTCATATCGAGAGTTCTTCTAAGAGACTGCATTTTAAATTTCCCCGATATCTGTTGTATTCTATGAAATATATAAGTACTATTTCGAAATGATGATAGAGCTAATTATTTTATCTTACTAAATTCTCAAAAATAGCAAACTAATAAATATTGAGAGAATAACTATGACTCAAGTTTTTGTTTTCTATCCATTTCAAAATGTTTCTAAAAAAAAGACATAAGTTTACCATATTGTGATCAAACGTTGAATGATTCTTTGTACCATGAACAATAACAATTAATGTTGACAACTGTTTGAGACGACCATCAAGTAAAGAAAGGCAATCTTGTAATGTATTCAGACTGATGCATAATTTTGTAAGAATTGAAGAAGAAAAAGTAGTTGATGGCAAGTCTGAAAGGGAGAAAGATCGACACTGGTCTCTCGACAATCCAACAATACTCAAATGAGTTAAACTTTTGAAGAAAGTAAAAAGATGTATATACACATTTATAGCGTAAGTCTTCACTGGTGTATTGCTAATATCTTCATTGCATATAAGACTAAGGTCAGTAATTTGTTGTCGAAAACATGTTGAAAGGAGGATTCATCTAAAAAGAAAATTAAGTGTATTTTTTTCTTTTTTACTGCTTTTATTATTGAATTTTTGAGCAGTTGAATATATGAATCGTTTACCTGTAAAATAACTTGAACAAATGTCTTGGTTAAAATTGAACAGTTTCAGTTGGCTGAGATAAGGATACTCAGCAACGCGAAGAATTCGTTCCATAGATGTTAAATCAAGACTAAGACATTTCACATTGTGATGAACTCTTGGCAATATACAGGAACAAAAACGATCTAGTATTGAGGTAGGAATCAAATAAATATCATCAGCTAATGCCAATACAAAATTGAGAAATTTTGTAAACATCTTTTCTTGTGCTAAAATGGCAAATCTTTCATTATCAATATCCGAAAGTGAATAAAGCACATTAGCATTATCTAGTTTTCTCAAAATAATAAGCAAGATTTCATTACGTAGATCAAGAAGATGAATGAGAGCGTATATATTTATATGCATTCATGTTCATTAATTTTTTATGAACACTTCTATAATTGGATAAAAAAATCAATGACCTCGTCGAAAAAGGTGAAGCGTCAATAAACAGTCTTGTATGCTCATTTTTCTTTTCGTTTGTCTTATGATAAATATGATGTTTCTGACAACATACAGTCAAACGAAACTAGAGACGGAAAATAAACAGAAGAAAAACAAAACACATCCAAAAAAGTAATTTCACACGCATACAAACAATTTTCAAAAAGAAAGAAAAATAAAACCTATTGCATTGAGAATCGAGTAATTGTGCTTCATCGTGTGTTTCAAATTTATACGATTGACTTTTGGGTGGGTGTGGGAGCTGAGTCTGAATTGAAGACCAACACCCACACCCGACTTAGGGGAAACTCCGACGGCGACGGGGCCCACGTCGGCCTCGAACTCAAGAGAATGAAAATTTTTCTGACTGGAGCTGCAGAAAAAAAGACCGAAATTGAAGTCGGAGTTAGATCTACCAAAGACATCTTAGAGCCCAAATTGGAACTACTTCTCAAATCTATTTCTTTTATATATCACAGTCTGGTCTTTTCGCATTAGTGAACAACAATTTTGAAAGTCATGAGGCTCTCTAAACTATCGATTCTTGACTGCAGACATAAAAATGCATCTCAAAGAGAAAAGTTAATTAAAATAGTGGACATACAGAAATAAAAGCTATTAAGTGTTCTAAATGCCTAATCGTTCAATGATATTAAGGAAAATTTTCGGTATTGGAATCCGAGTTGTAGAAGAAAGGCTCAATGACTGAGTGAGCAAGATGAAAATTTGTGGAATCACAGTTATAGTTGGAGCCAAAAAATAAAAATTTTTCGCAGCCGGGGTCAGGTTTCGAAATAAAATAATGAACTCCACAGATCTGTACATAACTTATACAAAATACAATGAACTACAATCGAACTTGGTTAAACGTGCACATTTTTGTCCGAGGAAAAAGTGCTTCTGATGCTGCGTATAAGCAATTAGAACAAAGAGAAAGCTATTTGATAAATGAACAAGAATTTAGAAGGTGAGCCATATAAATTAATAATATTTTGGAGAAAGACGCATGAGACTTTTTGCAACTATCAAGAATAAAAGACTTCAAGACATATGTATAACCGAAGTATAAGTGATAGATAGTAATGCTAAATTAGCTGTTTTGAAAACTAAATTAATTGAAATAGAAGCTTCAATCTATTAAGAAAGCAAAAAGAAAAAGAAATCAATGATTGAAAGAAATATTTTGCTTCTAGGAACTTTGATTAACAAAATCTAGCGCGTCTTCTTCTATTTTCATTGATTTTTATTAAGTCCTGTTTGAACACTTGTGGAACAAAATAGCTATTTAAAACATCGTCTAACAAAAATCGATTATTGCTCATTGTTATACATACATTTCCAGTACAACTCATTGCTTATGAATAATATTTTCAGTGGATACAATATAGACGATGTCCGATATTTTGACGCAAGTCGCGCATCAAATGATGCCTTTAGCAGAAAGATGGTTATATGCAAAACAAAACTGTCCAAACAATTTTGTCCAATATTCTATAAAGGCAGCTGTCGCTATGAATAGCTCATCAACGATATCTCTATTAACAAGCCCATTCCTATCACAAGACACAAACCTTCCATTCCGTTTAAAAGCCAAAAAATAGAACAAGAACAAATCCACATACAAAATTAAATAATGTCTCAAGTCCACTAAATGAAATTCCGCTCCTACTTCCAATCATCATCATGGCCATCACAATCAGCAGCACCTGCTACAGCATAATCATCATCAATAGAAGCAACACGATCAAGAACAGAACCACTAAAAGCAGCAGCATGATCAAAAACACCAGAAGCATGAGCATCAGCAGTAACACGATCAAGAGCAGCTTTAGCAGCAGCAATAGCATCAGGATCACCACTGCCAAGAGCCTCACCAAGAACAAGAGCGGCAGAAATATAAGCAGAAGTATCAGGAGGAGTTTGTGGGTCATAACTGGGTTGCGGTGCATTTTTATACACATGATGTTGTTCAGCTTCTAAACGACATTGAAAAAATATGATCGTCATGAGAGTGAGTTATTTCTATTGTGTGGATTATTGGACAATATTTTTTTAAGTGCAACAGTCGCGAACATTATTGGAGAAAAGCACATTTTCGATAAATTTTATTCGTTTTTCGCGAAATATTGTTGTGAACCTCCCTTTACACCCCTACATATTTACAATATTGAGTCCTTCGCGTCCATATTCGCGAAAGTCAATCTGAGATTGCACTTATTGTTATTTTGAATGTTTACATGTATTTTCTTTAATCATCGTAGGAATGCGTAAATTAATCGAGAACTCCTTAAGATAGTTGTGTTATTGTCTGTTCTAGTGTAGTTATAAGTAGCCAAAACTTCTGTTATTAGCATGATCTGGCTTGGTACAGTCAAATGCTGCGCTAAATCAACTATGATATGATGCATGCTAGAAATTTAACTAGTAGAAAGATATCCCCAGGTCGAACTCACCCCATCGGATCCGATGGGAATGCGTCGGAATTCGTTGGAATCCTTGGTATCGGATTCCGACAGGAAGTTGTCGGATGTCGAAAAGTGCCGGAATGGCACGGATCCTGTCGTAACCCTGAAAATCCGACATTTTCCGACGCCCGACAACTTCCTGTCGGAATCCGATACCAAAGATTCCGACGACTTCCGATGTATTCCCATCGGATCCGATAATTTTCCGCTGGGATCCGACTGTCGGATTGTTCGTCCTGGGTCCGGGGATCAGCTCAAATATAGAATGAAAGGAAGATTGGAGCAAAAAATATATATAGGAAATCAAAAAGTAATGAGAGTGGTATCATAATTCTTTACAAAGAGCTTTGCTGAAACTTTCTTTCTATATAGCCTTGAGTGTGGGTGTGGTTTAAGAGAAGACTAGCACCCATACTCCCACTCTAGTTAGATAACCAGCATATTTTCGAGCGAAAAAAACTGTATCGAAACCTTTTTATTATGATATTAATTGAGGTATGATCAAATAGTATAGAACGATCGAACTTTTGCTCTCTATCATACTATATAGAGAGAAAGTTTCTTAAGCATTTTTATAAGAAAGTACAATGCCACTCTCATTAATTTTTGACTGACAATAGTAAATGACGATCAAGGGTGTGGGGTGTGAATAAGCTGCCATGATCTAGATTTCATCCCAGCTAAAGGAGTCATCAGATGGCTTAATTATTCTGAATTATTCTCGAAAGAAAATTCAAAACTAATTTTATCTTCAAGAATTTACAAAATTATATTAAATAATAATGTAATAGAAGAATCAATTCACAAATCATTATTCTGGTGGTGATCGTTATTGAGTGAATAATATTGCTGTTGTTTGGTTCGGTTTGTTTGAATTCATTTTTTTTGCTTTTTTTCCGTTGGTTAGGTAATGCTGTTGTTCCAGTTGATATAAGCAGTAACATTGTTTTATTCCAAATGAAGAAAGTTGGAAGTGTACTGAGGTTTCGCTATTGTAGTTGGTTTTTTGCTCTGTCATTTTTGAGTCTTGAGAAATATATAGTGGTCGTATTTATAGTATCTGAAACAGAAAAGAAATCAAGTTTGAAATAGTAATTTATATTCGATTGTTTGTTTTAGATCTTTTTTTAAATGTTTTTTTTTGTAAATTATTGAAGCTGAAATTTATCTCATAAGTGTAACGATTATATGCAAAGAGCGTCCAAATTCCAACCGGGGGTGTAATGCTCTCGTTCGAGTGTAACCTATACATAAGATTTGGTCTTATGGTGCCATTTATTCTCATCACACCTATTGCCTTTATTTTTTTGTCCTTCGCATTTGCCTTTATCTATCCTTCTTCTTCGTTCCCTCAAATGGTTGAGTATTTAAACGTATGCTTTATATGTAATCGAGGCGATCTATGATTTGAAGAGTTAAATAAAGTGTAATACCATCAGTACAGGGATCTCTTCTATCTAAAATCGTCAGAAGGAGTCCTATAGAAGGGATAAAACGCGTCATGGCTACTACTAAAACACACCCACACCCACACCCACACATACTCAATTCTTGTCGTATGCGGTAATTTATTGCTTTTTATGAATTGTGCTTTTTCTAGAAATAGGTAAGTGAGGATCTGTGCAAGAATTAAGTCAAAATCGCTGTAGCCAATCGAAATGATGACGAGTTTCATAGTTGAAAACACATTGGCGTCGATGCGCATCTTGGATGAGTAGATGCCAATCACCATTGATCTAATCAACGGTTGGTTCACAGAAAACGGTTCATGTACCAATGAATTAAACTTACAGTCAATGATTTGGCATGACCGATGATATATACAGCATATTTGCCTCGTGTCAATGCTACGTTAAGTCGACGTCGATCAGCTACAAACCCAAGACTATTTCCTCCTGGCTCTTCAGCTGCAGCGCGGACGGTCGATATCAGAATTACATCCTTTTCTCGACCTTGAAATCCGTCAACTGTTGCTAAAATGAAGTGTTTTAGTCACAGTACTGTGTATTCAAAGAAACGAATTCTTTCATCCAATTACCGATATCTAAATGACAGTTGATTCTATCCGATATCAATGCCAACTGTGCCCGATAGGGAGTGATTATACCGATGGAAGAAAGCTGGATCGAAGCTCGTTGTGTTAAGTAATTGATGAGTTCTACAATGCACTCAGCTTCTGCATGGTTGAGATATGATTGCGAGACGACATTCTTCTCAGCTTGGCTGTTTAGAACGTTGATGAAAGCGTAAGGTTTCAGACGAAAACGGGCACTAAATAAATCTTAGATGAAACGATGGTATAATGGTTAAATCTATCAAATCCAACCGCTCTTTTTGTGTTGATAGGTCGGTCAAAAGTTTCCTATTGTAAATGTGTGCCGACGGAAATCGACATATTGGCTCTGCCATTCGGTATTGCTAAAGTTACAAAATGAATTTTCAACCACGTACATAATGCTACATTTTACACTTTAATGTTAGTTACACCGAAGATTGATTCGGAAAAATTCGACTCCGATTGGAAATTAGGGGAAGTTGACAATTCGCACTAGATTTTCATTACGATCTCCTGGCCAACATGTGTTACGGACTCCTGGTAAACGTTTTTAAAGGCAAAAATAAATTCCGAACACCTGAACAAATTGCCGGGTGCCCGGGACACTGGTACGAAATGTCTTTGTCTCGAAATTAGTAAGGAGTTATAAATGAACGACAGTTCAAAAATGCACTGAACTGTATACAAATAACTGATATTTCTCTGGATACTAAAACTGCTTATTCATCAATTTTGATCTATATGAAATAGAATACCCCTCAGTCCAGTGTACTCGTTCTTCGAAAAGGCTGAGCATAGTTTTTTGAAAAATTAGAATTTTGAACAAATCAAAACTGAACCATATTGAAAATCGATCTACGTATTGCTTTGAGAATCTTGCCTTTTATTCTTTTGAGCGGTTTCAACGGGTGCAAAATAGAGAGCACATTCACGAGAGAATACTTTAGAATCAGCCAACTATTAAAACCAATTCATGGCGATAAAATTCGTTGGAGCTGATCTTTATGAATTACCTAAAGGTGAAGCTTGAAAAAAGATATGCTTTCTTACGAAAAGGACCTGATTACTAGTAGTTATCCTTTACTTCTAAGAAAGAACTGATGTCCTGTTTGCTGAATCATCGGCGATATCCGTCAGATGAAGCTCGAAGGAATTTAAAGAATTCGAAAGTGAATTCTTTAGATTCGATTGTGAACTATCTTTAAGAAGCGATATATCGTCAGAATGGCAGTCTTGCAAAGCTCGGAGACAATGACTACTGCGAAAATTCTAGAATTAGAACTATCCGTCCTTGTAAAAAAAAACTAGAAAATGATCAGGCAATGATTTTTATCTTTCTAAATTCGTTTAAACATAGTGATTCGACTAGCATGAGGTTCTCGTGATTTTTGGCATCGCTTACAATGTTTAGCATGCGAATAAGATCAGTCGATTTGAACAATGAATAGAGGCGTGCAAGAAGTGATTGACCGAAATTGGCATTTTGTGCCCTTTGTGATAGAACAGTTGGTGGAAATTGTTCAGGATCGCCAAAAAGTAGCATACAAGGAATCCTTAAGCGTAATGGAATAAACGTATCAATCTCGAGACATTGACCAGCTTCATCGACGATCAAACAGTCGAACCATGGAGACTGATTGGTGTCGGAACCAAAGGAGTCAAAAATTGAATTTCCGACGTAGTTGAGCGTCGAGAAAACTACGTCGGCTTCTGCAAGTTTACCTTGTTCCAATTCACGCAGTTCTCTGTAGCTTGCTTGCTTCGACGAATAGATCTCTATTTAAAAGAGAGATATCAGTATTTGATACTTTAGTAGCTTCATTATTTTCACCGTGACCAACGCGAATTATGTTAAGACCTGAATAGACAAAAAAATATTTGAATATGAACGATCTTTGTATGAATTTCTTTGACCATATTGGCTTGAAAGTTTTCGTCTCAGTTCGTCACATGCAGCATTGGATGGAACACAGACGAGAATCCTTAGTTTTTTCGATCGTAAGATAGAATTGCATCTCTAAAATTCTCTTTCACGTTCGTTAATATGAGTTTATTATTCACAAAATAACATGTCATGTACCTGATTTATTGAACGGATAATGCTTACAATTGTGTGAGATTTACCTTGAGTGCAAAATAGCTAATAGAACGAGGTGATAAGTATTTTTCTTTACCTGTTCCTGGTGGCCCCTGAACAATATAGACTCGAGGTCGATATCTATTTGATTGGCATACAATGGAAACAGCTTCATTGATCACACGATCCTGCATTTCATTTTTTGCCTGAACAAATGTTACAGAAAGTTTTAATGAATGAGCCGCCTCTATACTTCACCGCTCATTACATCGGGCTGCTGCACATGCGACGAGTTCAATGAGAAAAGATTATCATTGACTCCTGGAGATAGAAGGTCTGAGACAATCGGGAACGAGTGAAGTGAAGCCAATGTTCGAAAACGGCGCAGATTGGAAATAAGCGACGTGATCACCTAGTTTAATGAAGAAAACTTCGCGTGAATTTATTTGAGACTATTTTTCATACAAACTTGCACTTGCACGTTCGAGCCAGTGATGAACGATGCGTATTTTAAAGATATGTAAATTGATAATTCGCTACAAATGACTTTTGCTGGCTTAGTGTACAAGTGTGCATCAGTAACTATGAAATAGTATAGTCGAAAACTTTCTATGGATCAGTATTTTATCCGTATAATCTTACCCAAGGTCTCATGAATTATATGATGATTGAAAATTACTTTTTTCTCTCGTTGTAAACCAAAAAGTTGTTGATTTCGAGAAGTCGTGACAAGAAGAAGATCATCGAATTTTGGCAGCGTCTGATTGTCTTTATCAACAAGAACTACATAAGCAATATATAATTGTTTTTCTGAGCAAACTCATCATTGTGCCTCACTTTGGCAGCGTAACATCATCAAGCCAAGTCTTGGCTGCTTTTCTTCGGTGCATAAGCACAGATCAAACACCCCTGATGATTGATAATTTTTTTCTTCGAAATGTTGTTGATCATCTCGTTTTATCTAGACGATATGAACTGAGCTGATCTTTTTAAGAAACAATTTCCACATACAGTTTCCCATGTTTCTTCGAGCAGCCAAGGTAAATGTGCTAATTCATAATCACTAAATGAGGTGTATTTTGTTTTTACTTGAATCGGCAAGCGATTACCCACGCAATAGTCTTTATACAAAACACCCGGTGCCAAACCTCGAAAAGAATAATCTTATAGCGAATTTCAAAATCTGTTTTTACTACTGGGCTCGTCAAGCCAAGTTGGCTTCCAAGCAAGAATATAGGACAAGTATGTTTCGTAGGAAAATGTTTCTGTCCATAATTGTTCTGTCAGGTTGGAACAAGAGACCTTTGGTTCTGCTTGTTTATATAGATTAACAGAGGAAACAGATGCCAGCGGCTTGTGTGAGTAACCGCGCGCACGTGTATTTGAACGTAACGAACTTTTTGAGCCATCTAAATCGAAAATTCATGGAAAACCTTGATCAAACGACATCTTGTTACAAAATATTACCATGAACAAAATACAATAATAAAACGATAACACAACAGACGACACAAAAGAACACAAACATAGAAGTCGATCTAAAATCAGTAACTATTTTAATGGTGTAGATATAGATGTCGGTGCAAGTATTACACTTTCTATTAACCCACATTCTCATATGCCACCCACCCTCAGTTAGAGCAATGGGCACAGAGGTCCGAATTTTTTTTGGTTACATCAGCGGAATTGAAAATATCTATGAACGTATTAAAAATACGTGCGGTACCTCAAAATACAACCGTGTATATAAGAAAATTTAATTGCGCTCAAACTGTACCCTAGCAGCAGTTGCACCGAAAACAAAATACTCTACCATTGCCATTATTTTAAGAGAAAACATTTTGTTCGTGAAGCATTGTAAATTTCTCGATAAAGAATAAAATACGATAGTTGAAAATTGTTTCTTTTCTTTTGTCTTTGTAGAAAGGTGTTTCGTGAGCATAGCATGCGAAAGATTGTTTTTGTGGGCTTCGGGTGTAGCTGCGAGCGCGGGTCTGTGAATGAAAAGAACATCTATATTGCGCCCACACTCACACTCGATTAAAATGGATACTCTTTGGCTAGCATTTTCACCAGAAATTAGTATTATTTATCAAAACATTTGATACTTTCCTCATATCATAACCCCCAGAGCAAGAATTTTTCCCGATTCTTTTACATAAACCACTAGATCATATCAAGATATGATGAATGAAAGTACTAGAATTTAAAACGTCGGTTGAAGTCTCAGTTAAAAAGGCGTATTTAAAAAGTAATATACGGTTAGATCCTGATGGTGAACATTAAACTTAGACTGAAATTTACATGAAACGATTTTTGGCATCGTCTATAATCATTTTGATACAGAAAATTCCGATTTCTATAGGGTGTGGCTGTGCGGATGCGAATTAGGTGTTATTATTATTTCCTTCACAAACGCCTACACCACACCCACACCCTCAAGTCGAACAACATTTGATAGTACATTTGATGCATCTATTTCAGGAACAAATGAGAATGGCAATGATATTTATATCGATAAAACAAATGAATTATCTTTACAACTAGATCAGTAAATACAAATAACCAAAGAACGTGACGCCGAGTTAAAACGTTTACGATCGATATCAATAGGTAAATTATTTTGATTCATATATTTAAAAATGTCGAGTTTTTTAGAAATACCAACTGATCAAGCTGTTCGTGACTATATATGCTATTTTGCTGATAAAATTAAACAACAAACAACAGGCCATATATACACCGGAAACTTAACGAATGATGCTAAACGTTTAGGAATTGGTGTTGAAAAATTGATTGAAGTGTTGAAATTAAAAGATGGAATTTCAAGTATTGCTCGACAACTCTTCAAACGAATTATACCCGAAAGTCAAAGATCAGTAGATCATTGGAACCAACTATCTGCAGGAGTTATTCTAAAAGAGAAAATTTTGATTGGTAAATAAAATCTTTTTTTTTTCTGGCGTTCAATCATGAAATTTTCTTATTTATTTAGGATTTTTAGGACGATATTATGGTGCTCTGGAAGTGGATCCGAAAAAAATACATATTAGTCTTGTTGGCTGTCTTCGTAATGATCGTGGAAAACAAAAGAAGTTAAAACAATAAGTTGAAATATCTGCTAATGATAATAATGATGATGATCAAGTCGAAGAAATTAGTTATGCTGATGACGATGACACCTTTTAATATCTATGTATATAATAGCAAGAAAAAATGTTATACCATTATGTTGCGAAGCAAAAGTTATTGCTTCTTGTTATGCTCATGTTTACTATGTTTCTTTGTTTCCTATAAGATTATTCTTACAATACTTGTTTGTTTCTTATATCTTACATCGTAGTCATGTATACTTTTTTTTAATCATTGTAAATAAGATATGATTAGAATGAGCATAAGCTCAAATTAAATAAGACGTTAACTATTACACACCTAATGATTTCTATTCGATAACGTCTAGAGACAGGCTTTTATATGAAAAAAGAAGCTCTCTAATATAAAATAATAGTACAGCAATCATGAAATCTTTTGCTAACCTTATCTGGACAAGAGTAATTACATCGTTCTTTCGAAATGTGAGCCATCATATCAGATAGTGCCATTTCCCAATATGTCAGACTGTTGGTAATATCTGGATTCCAATAGAAGAACACCAATATTTCTCATCGTGAAAAGTAATTAAAATTTCCAGTAACTTCCATTCAAGCTTCGCTTTATCTTTGTAACATTTTTCATCAATAATGAACAGGAGATTTTCAAGCTTAAGTTGTAATTGCTTGAAAACACTACATGATACAGCAGCCCATGTCGTTGTCTGTAATTACAACGTTATAATTAATTCAAATTGTTTCCAGCTGTAGATGCGCATTAGAATACTTGAAAAGAAAATTAATTGCTAAATTAGGAGAAGATAGTCATATATGATGTTGAACTACCAAGATCGCGTGTATAGACATTCAGAACGAAGTTTTTCGCTTTAGTTTCTACAAGTTTGCTTTAGATTTTTTTGTTTCAGATTCAGATGAGACCTGTAGCAACCTGTTTCAAAAAGAAAGCAACGGCTAGAAGAAAGAACCATCAACATTGGTCAAGACATAAGCATGAAATATCTGCAAAACGAACCACCCAAACGCTTACTTTTCAGCAGGCTCAATTCTTGAATGAAAATCAATGTGAAGATAATGGTTTAAACATTAATGATACATTAAATTTCTTGTCAATAAACGAAACAATAAATGGCATCAATACTGAATGTTCCGATGAAAATGATTGTGAAGACGATTCTATCAATAAGTATTTTGTTGACACGGGTGAACGTGGTGTTTCATTTGATACATTTTACGAAGATCAATTCGAAGAAGAAATTGACGAAGAGGAAATTGAAGAAACTTTAACTGAAGAACAAACAGAATTTGCTAATGAGTTCATGAATGTGGAAACATCAGCAACACCAGTTCGTGAATATGATGAATTGGTAAGTGAATATATCGTAAAACGTATAATTATATACATGTTTTTGATTGTAGGATATTTCGATTATACTATTGATAATGAAAAAAAAACATAAGTGTAGCAATAGCCTTATTAATGATATATTGAAAATGTTAATAACACTAAAAGTTCCACGCGTTCCTGCATCTTGGTACAAGTTGACCGAAATTATTAAAAGAACCGACGACACATCAAAATCAAACCAACAAATCATTGATTCAACTTGTTATTTTTGTCCGGAATGCGAACAAGAATCCACTAACCCAAGTAAATGTACAAATGCCAAGTGTTCATATTATTCCAATTGTTTAGTAGCTCCTCATACATTTATGGTGATGAATATTCAGCAGCAAATTGAAGAAGTTCTAAGATCAACTCATCAAAATGATCTTGATCTATCAGCACAAACATCAACAGAATCCACCACCTCATTAATTGATATCCATAATGGAGATGTTTATAAAAATATTGTACATTCATTGAGAAAAGAAAATCATAAATTTTTATATCGTTGACATGTAATATTGATGGTGCTGCTGTTTACACCAGTAGTGAACAGAGTATGTGGACATTCATAGCATGTTTGAATGAATTAATGAGATCAATACGTTTTAATATAGAAAAAATGATAGGTACTAATTTTGCAATAAGTAAATAATACATGTTTTTATTTTATGTTGTCAGTACTTGCTGTAGGTGTAGGGCGAAAAAAGCCATCTCGATTGATAATGCAGCAAATGCTGAACCCAATTGTAACACGTTTAAAACTACTGCAAAAGCCATGTTTATATCGACTGTCAAATGGTTTTTATCAAATGTTGCGAGTATATTTAATTGGTATTAGTAACGATAAGCCGGCCAATAGTATTGTACAGAATCAGCCGGAGCCCAACGCTTTGTTTGGCTGTGCCAAGTGTGAAATTGCCGGTTGATAGTTTTTTTTTACTTGTAACTTGAAAAATCGCTAATTTCTTTTCCGTTGTAGGGCGTACAACGCCAGCAAAACTTCATGCAACACCAAATCAATCAGGAAAAATAACTACCGTATTCATTAGAATATTTCCAACTGAAATTGGTGAACAACCCGAGATGCGCTCGAACGTTCGTTGGTTCGAAATTTCTCATGCTGTACAAAACGGTATTCGTTTTTTTTACAAATGATAATCGATCGCATACTTACGGTTATTTGGGTGAATGTGGATTAAGCGAATTGGCTTTTGTTGACCGTGGCACTAGCTTTATGAGTGATACACTGCATTCCATCTACCACGGATCGTTCGTTCGTATTACATACCTTGAATGTCTATTGTAGAAATATGTCGCGTGTTCTTTTGTTTTTTGTTAAAGAAAAAGCTGATGCAGTTGTGGACAGAATCGCCAAGAAAACAACCGTGGTCGTTGTCGAAGTTGTTACCATTGATTGCTTGCGATCTTTCTAAAATACATTACCCTACTACGACAACACGAGCACCGAGATCTCTTATGAAGTGCTTGAAGTTAAAAGCTAATGAATGTAGAGTACTATTGTTAATCGAATATCCAATATTCAAGAATTACTTACAAGACGTGTACTACCAACATTTACAAAAATTGGCGTTCGGCATCAGCATTGGTGAATCTTCCAATATTTCAATGACCATGTTAGATGAAATGAATTTATTATTAACAAGTTTTGTTGACGAATTCCCGTATCATGAGCGTTATGTTGTTCAAACGGTTCATTGTGTTAAGCATTTTGCGACGACGACCAAAGACTTTGGTCCTCTTTCAAATTATAGTACTTTCAACTACGAAAGCGTGGTTGGTATGGATATGTATATAATATATGCTTATTCAGGTATTTGCGAACATTTGAAATTTATTCTTAGGATGCTTATCTTCATCAGTTCACGGTACAAAAAATGTTAGTAGTGAATTAGCAAAAAATATTGATCTATTTAAAAAAGCTTACCATGCATCATCATATCATTCTTCGTACTCCGAACGTTCACCGTTTATAGAATATTTAAAAACTGGAAGAAAATATTCTAGTAAACCACGTTTATCGAATAAAACTATTTCTCAACGAGATTTAGATATATTATATCAATTAATTTCAAAAGAAACCAGGCTAAAATGCATGAAATCAAGTAAGTTAGAATTTATCGCCGTGATGATCTAACTAAATATGTGAATTTTGTTTTATTTCATGATGATTTTCTTCTTAATTAATCTTGTTCTTTTCTAGTTACACGTTACGGTTTGATTGTTTCAACAATAACAAGTTCAAAATCAAAGAAGTTCACCGATGCTTGCGTAGTTTATCAATATCAAAATACAGTGAAATATGGTATTATAGAAGATATTTTTTATGATGAACAGCAAGATTTATACTTATTGAAAATGCGTTCATTACAAGATACTTATTATGATACAATAACTTTCAAGTCTAAAACTTTCGTCAATGAACATATAATATATACTTTCCTCCTTTTCCTAACGTATATGAATCGTCATGAATTTCTGTATTTTATGTTTGTTCTCTTATTTTTCTTTATTTGATAACTTTGTTTTACTACATAATAAATGAAATATTTGTTTCTGCACTATATTTAAAAAAAAACATATCTAAGATCCGCTCACTTTTAATACATTTTATTTCTGTAAGCAGCATATATCGTTCTATCAATAATTTAGCAAACTACCATGAAAGTATCACTTTCTCACAAAAAGAAAACATGAAAATGTTTTTAGTTACGTTAAACTAGGAACAGGTGAAATCATCATTGAAAACTTGAATTCATGGTGTGGACTTCTCTTTTTGTTGTTCCTTCGAACAATCCAATACTTAATTATCGAGAGAAATCACTTAGACACTTCGCTCTATGACACAAAATTAGTCTGAATATCATCAGAAAAAAGTATGGTAAACATATACCAAGACTTGAAGAAAATTAACACTATCATTTACGAATCTTTCTACAGATTTTTATATTTATCTTCTTCAATGACCACAACGATTATCGCGACTCTTCCAATCATGAAAAGTTGCAGCCTTTAATACCGCGGTAAACTTCCACATAAGCGCGTTCTTAATAATCGTATATCTTGTAAAAAGTAACGCTGCGGTTTCATTCAATTGAAGCGAGCTTTTTTAAAATTGCGGTGTTAAGTAATCTCTGAGACCGCAGCTTTTCGCTAATGAACTGCGGTTTATTTTAGTTGCGGTGGATCACACCGCGATTAACCGCGGCTTTTCAGTAGTACCGCGGTTCGCTAAATGAAAACCGCAGCGGAAGTGAGAAAACCGAGGTTAACCGCGTTTTTGAAGAATTTTTTTTCCGTAAACAAAAGTAGCATAGGTGTTTTCTAGATAATAAAGTAAGATGAATGATAATCTTGAAGATAAAAAGAAGACAATCTTAAGTCAGGACTAAAAACTATTGAAAAATCGAACATCTTAAGTAATGATGATATAATCCTGAAACAGTTCTCTACGATAAAGTGTAATTTATTTTATTTTAGTTTGAAAAGATAAATCTGTTTATTAATACGATGTACAAACATTAAAAATAAACTCTGATTGAGTTTTTCATGTTAAGCATTAATTTTTTTCTTCTTTCGATCAAAGCTTATGTTGCTCGATGACAGCGAACAAGAAAGAGGTATTATCATGTGTATCGATAAATACATATACGTTCAGAGATGAAAATCAAATGAAAAATTTTGTTGTAACATAATTGAAATTTTCAGACACCTCTCTATGAAATAAACGAATTTCTTATTTTAAACACAAACGATAAAACAAAACATCTGATTTAATTCTGTTTTAGTATTGTTTCTTTTACAGATATAATACCTATCTTATTAAATAATTCTATTTTTTATTTGTACTCGCCGCAGTTCAAAATATACTTATGTAAACTTTTGTTTTTGGAACGATTTTTTTCTATCCTGAAGAAGAGAAAAAAGAATCAACATTAAAAATAAAAATTTATTGGCTGTTCATAATTTTGCTTTCGATTTTTCTTGATACAAATAGGCAAGGGCATATTGAAAAAAAATTGATCAATTCAGATACATCTGCCTGAGTTACAAGAGCCTCACTTATGATGATAGTTGATGATATTGTATTTGAATATCGGCTCGGTGAAATTAAGATTGAATAACAAAATAATGACAAAGTGCGAGATAGTGGCGTGTCTAGGGGGCTAGGGTGGGCGGCGCCCACCCACCGATAAAAAAAATACTTTATAATGGCTTTGAAATTTTTTCGATTCTCTTGCATGTTAAGATTGTTCGCAATTCCATCAACTAGTGACACCAATAGGATACACTTCACATACGCCCTTGGTCAAGCGATATCTATCGCTTTTAGATTTATCTTCTCTCTCGTCAGTCAAATTCATTAGAAGCCCTACATTTAAGCGACTATTTGATAGTTGTAAAATGAACCAAAGTACTAAAGATAAAGACCCAAAACGTGGTACCATTGAATATATTTTCAGTTCCCAAGCATAAAAAAATGAGATCTGCTGCTTTAATAACTTTCAGTTTAGAACAAGAAGCATCTTCATCGTCATTAATATGTATAACGAAAACGAATTTATCCTTTTCCACAATTCAACTATAACAATAAAATTTTCATGACCATTTATAGGTATAGAACAACATGAGACATCTTCATCGTGTATCGGTAAAGAACAACAAGGAACCTGTTCATCTTCATCATCATTGACAGGTAAAGGAAACGAATTTATCATTTTCTATGATTCTATGACTACCCAAAAATTGTCTGTATTAGCTGCAGGTGTACGACAAGAAATTTTGATATCTTCTATAATTGAAGAACAACAAGAAACAACCATTACATCTCTTAGTAATCAGGAAGAACAAATTTCATCGTCTTCGTTTTTAAAATCGCAACTATTAAATGTTAATGATATTAGTGGTTCATGTTATGAAGGTCCAACACAACCAAAACTTGTTTCTTATCCAATAAACAAAGACAAACGATGCTTTCGAAGTGAATGGTTTTTAAAATTTAGTTGGTTGGAATATTCTATAGAAAATGATTTGACTTTTTGCTATTATTGCAGACATTTTTTTAATGGATCAAACTTGAATAATCGAGTAAGAAAGCCGGGCTTATGAGCGAAATCGTTACTATACTTTTTTTCTCCTGATTCATGTTTAGGATCAATGTGATTCATTTTTACGTGGTTTCTGCAAATGGAAGCGTGCATTTTGTAGAAAACAAGGCTTTTTAAAACATCAGAGTAGACGAAGCCACATTATAGCAGAAAAAAATCACAAGGAGTATATTATACGCACGAAATCTGGATCATCTATTGTTCAAGTGATTGATAAATCGAGAAATGAAATAATAAAAAACAATCGTCAAAGATTGATGAAGATTATTTCAGCATTACATTTATGTGCCAGACAGATGATTTCAATAAGGGGTCATGATGAGAGTGAAGAGTAAACATGCTTCAGACAGAGAAATTATATAGTTCATATTGTCTTCATCTTATATAGATCATCTAATTGTGGAAATTTTGTAAAATTACTTCGTTGGTCTAGTACAACTGATCCAATTTGTTCAGCTATTCTTGATGATAGTGCTTAAAATTCTACATATCTCAGTCCAGGTATACAAAACGAGTTAATTGCATTATTGGCTGATCATGTTCGAAAGACAATCGCAGATAAAGTCGGCTTATTTTAATTTTACCGAAAGACTCATTGTTGTTTTCTTCATAGATTAAGGATTGTTATTTTTCTCTCATGGCTGATGAATCCAGAGATATATCTGGTAATGAACAACTGAGTATTGTTATACGTGTTGTTGATCCTGATGTAAAAATGCATATCGATAAAAGTGAAAAATCATGCCCCTTCAATGAATATTTTCTAGGATTTATCAAGCTAAATGAGTTTGATGCTGAAACTTTAACATCTGAAATTGTTCGATTTTTATCGTGTTTAAAAATTGATTTAAATAAATGTATCGCGATGTGTTTCGATGGGTAAGCGAGATGAATAGCTCATGTTTAGACCAGCATTTCGGATATCTACTTTTTTTCCTCCAAGAGCGTCTGTTATGTCTGGCAAGCATGCAGGTGTACAAGCACTGTTACGCCAACGATACATTCCTAATGCAATATATGTGCATTGTTATGCACATAAATTAAACTTGGTGATATGTGACGTCACCAAAAGCGTTCCTTACTTAGCCGAATTTTATTCGATTATCAATGCAATATATCGATATTTTAATAAATCAAGCGTAAATAATAAAACATTTAAAAAAGTTCAACAACAGCTTAAGCTAGGCGAGAATGTTTTAAATTTATCATCAACCGTGAAAGAATCTTCTTTTCTTGTTTTCGAAGATTGCTCCGGTCTATCCACAACTACAAGTAAGAAATGGACTGAAACCAGATGGGACAGTCGTTGGACGTCCATCGATTCGGTTATTGAGAATTATCACGCTTTAATTATAAGTTTAGAAGAACTGGAAAATGAAGGTACTGAACGTTCGACAGATGCGTGGGGACTATTACTAGCATTAAAGAATCACTATTTATTGCCACTATTTTTATCTTACACCGTTTTCTTGGTAAAATCAAAATATTATCTGATGAATTAAAATGTAAGGCTTTTTCAATTCTAGTTACAATGCCTCTTTTCTTCTGTTTTCTTCTTACAGTTTTTTTTTCATTTCAGCTAAATCTTTAGATTTTGGTAAAGCTCATACATTGATTAGTGCTGTTATTGATCAGATTGTTGCTCTTAGAAACGAAGAAAACTTTTCTAAAATATTTGATCAAATTAATCAATTTTGTGCTGATAACAATGTTGATTTAAATGTCAAAGTGAAAGAAAGGAGATTAAAAACAACTTCTACAAGATTGAAAAATTTTCTAGTTACAAGTACAATTGGAGAACGTGAAATTATTGATTGTGAATGTAAATATAGAACTTCTATTTTTTATCCAGTTATTGACTCGATTATTCTTGAAATGAGGGATCGTTTTTCAACGACAAACATGGACATTCTTCGTGCGGTTTCATCCCTGTCGCCTGAAAGTTCAACATTTTTAGAATTAACAGAACTTAAAGCTTTATGTTTGATGCTACAATGTGATACTTCGCTGTTGAAAAACGAAATCCAAGTATTCAAACCCATGCTAAACCAATCAAAATCAAAAAATATAACTGACCTATTTTTTGAAACATTACCATTTCAACAAGCTTTTCCAAATATTCTAAGGCTGGTCATATGTTCTATGATGATACCATTATCATCCACAACAACAGAAAGGACATTCAGTAAAATGAAACTCATTAAAACAATCGCACGTAATAGTGTGTCAGATTCTAGACTAAGTGATTTGTCTTTGTTGGCTATTGAAAGAGATATTGTTGTTGATTATGAAAACATCATTGATGCATTCGCAGCTCAACACAAGAACAGTCGAATACTATTGAAATAATTATTGTTTGTTTTGTTTACTTTCATTTTATCTTTTTTTGATATAATCTACTTAATAAAAGAATATACATGTTGTTTAACGTTACTCTTTATTTAGGAATCAGAAAATTAGGAAGCTGGATTGAATTTTCAGAAAAAAAAATATATTGGGGCGCTGCCCTCCCACCCACAATTTCCTTGATACGCCACTAGTGCGAGACAGAACATAATAAGAATAATTCGCATATAGCTGAGTGGCTTAAGAGCGTCGATAACGCGATATTGGTTCGAATCCAGTGCGATATATATCATTTGTTCTGTTCTGTACGTTATTTTACCATTGAATTTTGTCAAATGTTGTTTGGCTTGTGGTCAGAGGTACCCCCTCGAAATCTCAACGCGACGGGGGTAACTGACCACGCTGAATCCGAATATGCTATTTTTATTCACCGACAACATACCGTTCAAAACCACTCCGGGGTGATATGCAGTGCTCCCGATTATTTGTAATAGTGTTGGGGGCTAATAATTTTTGCCAGACACTGTTTCAACGTCTACCAGAAAATCATTTCCACTAAAATTTGTCGATCTGCATAACTTTTCAAGGATGTACATGAATTAATACTTGCTTCAGTGTTCAACTTTAAATCTCTTATTCTTTTCCATCTATATCAAGAAAAAAGCATTAATTCAAAAAAGTAGATTTACATCGAAATACATTTGGTTCAATTGAAGTCTTCATCGGGTTCTGTTTCATTATTGTCTTCGATAAATGCACTATACACATTTCGATGGTCAACTTGATGAGCACTAATAATAAAATCTTCAATGATAAATTTGATGGTATTATGCGTTAAATCAGCTTTAATAGTCGACATCTTAATTAGAACTTATAATGTTGTACTATTTAACCTGTTGCGTAGGAACAGGATGCTACCTGTAATTGTTCATATTTTGTTTAAATATCTTCTTCAGTCATTGTATGTTTGTGACGAGCATGATCTTTCAAGCTCTTCTTTGCCATTCGTTTATCACAATCTGGAAAAATTATTGCTGCAAATACTGCTGTGATAGTTATGTATGAGCGCACAAGAATACGATATGAATATATGTATCAAATATACATCATGAAAACAAGTTGTCTATATCGTCAATTGTTCCGTTTCTTAAACGTTAACTTAATTACGATCATACACTCATTCTGATATTCAATGAAATTTATTCTATACTAATTTCAGTTAAGATAAGAAAAGAGTGTTTTAATATTGCTAAATATTGCGCTTTGGGCGATACAATAGGTGTTATATCAAATTAGACAGACAGTCTACAGCATGTACTAGAATAAACAAAAATCACTGTATTGTCTGCCGAATTTGTCAGAAGCTGGAACGCATACAAAATTCTAGCAGACAAATCCTCAAGTGATGGGGATTTATCCCTACCCAGGTCGAACTCACCCCATCGGATCCGATGGGAATGCGTCGGAAGGATTCCGACAGGACGTTGTCGGATGCCGGAAAGTGCCGGATTTTTAGGGTTCCGACAGGATCCGGGTCATTCAGGCATTTTCCAACATCCGACAACTTCCTGTCGGAATCCAATACCAAGGATTCCGCCAATTTCCGACGAATTCCCATCGGATCCGATAATTTTCCGCTAGGATCCGACTATCTGATTGTTCGCCCTGGGCAGCATTCTACAATACCCCGGGAGCCTTGAAGGAAAGTAACAATTTTTAATTGAAAACATTTTACAAAAAATAAAGCTAATTTAAATTTAACTTTAATAATGTTTTCATTAAGTAACGTAGAAACTATGTCTACCACTATGCAGTCTTTATTTTTTCCATATGATGGGGAATATGAATTTGCGACAAAATCGAATTGATTAAAATCATCTCTATTTATGACAAAATAAAAACTGTAGTGGTATAGCGGTATAGCTGTATAAGCATTTTGAATTTGCCGCAAATTCAAATGCCCCATGAAGTCAAAAGTCGGCTATAAAGTGATGATTTATTACCGAGATCGTAAAAATAATCATGAAAAATCGGCGATTCATCGCGTTTTAGAGCACGATAGAGTACTGCACGGGTACAACTTTTTGAACCCTCACCCGACTCGAAAATTTATTGAGAACCCACCTTTAACCAAATCCAAATAAGATTAAAAAATTCGTTTCTTTTAACATTTTACATAACATAGAATAGCAATAGAGAGCAGGATCATATATTACAGTAAAATACTACCTGAGACAAACTCGACAAATTTTTCAACGAAACTCGAGCCCAACCTGAGAAGTTAGAACTCGTACCCGCCCGCGAGTCAGATCGGGTTGCAGTACTCTAGTGCATGATTATCGTTTCGATATATCGCGATTAATCGCCAATTTTTTAGTGCTTTTGAGGACATGGGTGCACTCAGACGCCCAATAATATACTTCTACTCAGTCTCGGATACCTACCCATTGCTTGCATGCATTTGGTTGATATTTAGTTGTGCTTGTTGATGAAGAATGTGGCATTACTCCAGAAAAGAGCTAATTTATTCAAGAAATTCAAAATTTTTATGTTTACGTACTCGTACAACAGAAAAGGATGAAGAAAAAAGCGAAGAAGGAAAAGCACGTACACTATCAATTCACATGTCTCATTCAGAAAACGAATTAAAGGTGAGTGCTTTTGTATTTCTTGAGGATGTTTCTGCCTATGTTGTAGAAAAACTATACTATTTTGAAAAAGATACAAATTATATTTAAAGAGAAAGCCTCTAATATAATTAGCATAGAATAGAAAGATTAACATAAAAATTTTGATTAATGAAGACATAACTCCATCAAACCAAGAGAAAAGAAAAGTAACTTTAAATAAAATAGATTCACACGAACAAAAATTCAGTTCCATGATTTACAGCGAAATTGCAAATAATTAATAAAAATAAAAATAAGTAAAACAAACGAATAAATATGAAATGTTGTTGAAACATATTCTACTCCTCGAACAACTGTCTTGATAAAATTAGAATCCAATATTTCAAGTCTCATGGATCAGTCACATACTTTAATAAAAATATTTTTTCTCTCTATAGGTTATAAGGAACTAGTTTAAAATGAAAGTAATTGTTTATTGGGATAAATGATTTAAGCAAGGTGAATTAAAAACTATTAAAAAAATAGACATCAAATTTTCTCTAGATTCATATCGAGTATGTCTTTTAGTTCACTACTATGGTACTGTTCACTTTTTCCTCTAATCTGGATCAACTGTGTGATCAATTTAGGTAGTGTCCAAATACTCTCGGCGTCATCTATAATACTATCACGTATGATTGAATGAAATCGACTTTGAAGATCGATTCTGTGATTTATTTCTATTTCTAGTAACATTGTTTCGTTTTGATCGCTTAATTTAGATGCTAATTTACGAGTCATAAAACCTTTTACTATGTAGTGTCTTGATTCAAGTTCACGATAAATCTTTTCTGATATTGCTTTTGTTTCATGAAAACAATATCTATCAAGAAAAGCAACACGTTTTTTTATTACATTAACTTCGTCTTTATTATAACGACAATCACCATTAAATAATCGAATAATGGTTATAACATTATTGATTTCGTCTTTTCTTAATTCAATAGCATTTTTTGGAACCATAGTAGGACCATTCACATCATCAATATGCATTAGGCTTACTTTAGGATCGTTTCGTTCATGAAATAACGTGATGAGACTTTTAGCTTCAAACGTAGAAACTATAATAAAACTTACTTCAGTCTCTATTCTATGAATTAGTAGCATGTTAACAGGTTTCAAATAATCAGTCTGATATGCCTGATTCTTGTTATCTTCGTCTAATATTGTTTTAGTAAAATTTTCTGTTGCAAAAACTTTACTGCACCATTTCAACTTTTTTAAACCATCAATTTCGGTGTACTGAAAACATTTTCTTAATTCTTCAAGTTTCGGATAATCTTTTTCTCCATGTAATCCTTTCTCCTTAAAGCTTTTTTCAAAAACCTTATTAAAATCCCATACAGTTTCAGGTTCTGGTTTCTTGTCCCTTGGACGAATGGCTTCTTCCTGCTGCATTTCTTCAACCTCTTTCTCATTTTCCTGATTCCCATCAAACTCAGAGTCAATAGTTAATATTCGTGTTGGAAGTTTATGATTTATTCTTTGAATAATTTTTTCCATTTTCGGTCTATCTTCATTAGTCCAATGCTCATCGATTTTTTGAATCCATTCGTTAGGGTACCCGTTCGCTTCAAGTTCTTGTTCTAAATCCGAATAAAACTTATTTAAATAGGCACTTGAATTCGAAGTTAAAAGATCTCGAGGACTTCGCCTCCGAGGACTAATACCATACAACTTTTCTATATTGTTCAAACTTTCGGTCTTGTATACTATGGTGAGAGAATGCATAGGTGTTTTTATTTGCTTCTGATATTTGAGTGCTCTACCCTTGATGACATATTTTAATTTCTCTTTTGTGACAGGATATAAGTCACGTTCATTTTTTCGAATTGTATTATAAGTAACCCATATTAAAACGTGTTTACTCGTTATGTCATCTATGTGAACATCATTTACCATAGCAATTGCTGCTGAAATTTCTTTCGAACCCCATAATACAATCGATTGTTCAAAATCTAGATCACGAAGACGCATGACTGCTTGCATAAGTTTATCTTTGCTCATATTCTTTCCAACTGTTACAATGCCACATGCAGTTAGGGGTAATTTTAAATCAGTTCCACGAGTATGAATTTCATCCAAATAAACAAATAATTTCTTATTATCAATATGACATGTTGATAATGGAAAAGACATACAATTTCTTAAAATAACCATCATTTTATTATTTTCATCAGAAAAATAGACAATTCCATCAAATCTTTGATCAATTTTTCTAATCAGATATTCAGATACCTGAAGATTATTCATTTCTGTAATAATAGCTCCTGCGTCAATTAATACATAACAATTCTCATTGTTCTTTGCATAATGGCAAAATTCATCTAAAACTTCCTTAGTACTAGATATACGCATGTTTGATATATATTTTCTATTTTTATCTCGTGATAAAATATACAACATCTTACCATTTGTTCCCATTTGAGATGGTAATCGTTTGGGTACGACCGATTCAGGCATCGTGTCATTACGATCATCAGTACCAGAAAATCCCTTTGTTTTTCCTTCACCAGCTAATGTGTGAGCATTTCCTGTAAGCTTTTTTTTGTAATGTTTAATATCATTTGGAAAGGTGAAATTAGTTAAATAATATTCAATAAAGCTAAAATTTCGGGAAAGATAAAGGTGAACTTTTTTAATTTTAGTGTCATCTTCAAGATCAAGAGTTTTAAAAGATTTTAACCATTTCGGAAATTCTTCTTTTGTTTCTTCAATTATTTCGTCAATCCACTTTTTATTTTCTTGAACCCATTTTTGTAATACACTATCTCTATTCTGTTTCGGATCATTTTTTAAGTTGAGCAATCCGCGTTTTACTTGTTCGAAATTTAATCCTCGATACAAATAAGTAAGGATCGTAAAACCAATCATAATATCAGGATGGCTAAACTCTGATTTTTCGGACGGTAAATCTTTACCTCGAAATGGAATAGCGATTTCTATTTCTCTATTTTCAGACAATCCGTATTCAACTCTGTAACGATAACTCATGACATGATACAGTATATCATGATGTAACCAAGCTTTTGCTAGTAACAAACTATTTAACATATCTTGACTTTTTCCTTTCAATGATGGAATTATTTTATCTTCTTTCAATGTACATTTTCCTTGGATAAAATTCTCGTAACTTCCACAATTTTCACCGTCGTCATGAATAATGTCCGTTATTTTTTGATCAAATTTTGAGAGAATTAGTTTGCAAAGTTGACGACAAAGATTTGGCACAATATTTTGTAAAAAATATTCTTTTTTAACAAAGCGTATAAGAGAACATCCTCCTCCAATTCCACTTATTGGTCTGAAGTTTTCTTGAAAAATAACTGGACACTCATCGCTTTCGGAAGCAGGTTTCAGACTTTCACCGAATTTATTTTCGGCGAAAATCATCTTAAACAATAAAAATGGAATTTCCCAACGAATCGAACCACCATCCAAAGATTCAGCTGATTCTAATGTATAATTTAATTCTTTTCCGTGACATAAAATCTCATCAGATTCATCAAGTATATCAAAGAATTTAAAATCATCAATTACATGAAGTAAATCTAACTTTTGTTTACGTTGATTCTGGAGTTGTTTCGATTGAGCTCTTAAAATCTCGTAAGCGCTCTTAACATCAAAATGACCATTTTCCTTAATTATATCATGCACTTCTTGATAAAATTTACGGATTTCTTCCTGGCGTTCAGAAGGATATTTTATTATTTTATTCTCACTATCTATATACCCTAATGATTGCAAGGCTTGTTTCAAAGTTCTTTGTGAGTCTGTCAAACTAAAAAACGTTCTAGGCTTGATAGTCGAAGTATATGACCGATGGTGATGTTCTTCCCAATCAAAGTAATCATCTGCGTCTTTTGATTCTAGATAATCTAAGAACATTTCTTGTTTTTTCAATTGAAAGCACAAGCGTTGTTCAGGTGTTACTAATAGAATATGTTTTCCATCCTGACAATCGGTAAGCATTTCTTTTATCCTCGCAAGATTTTCTTTCGAATATGCAATACCTCGTGAAAATGGCATAACATATATTTTCTTCTGTAATAATCCACTAAACTTATTTCTTAACAGTTCTTGCATAATGCCTGTTAATGATTCTAAACAATTAATTCTCACAGCCTGCTTACCATCAGCTAAAATCTCGCTTAGAATAATTAGAATAACAGATGTTTTACCTTCTCCCATGTTTAACTGATAAATGCTATTTTTTTTCTCATTTATCATTGTTTCTACAAGAGTATATTGATCTTGACGTATTAAAAGATTATTCTCTATTTCGAATAATAACCAAGTTGGATACAATTTCTCATCATAGCTTCTCTCCATTAAAATATTTATGAACATTGATTGTAAAATTCTGTTTCTTTCTCTTTCATCTTTTTCCGGATGTAATGGGTAATACTTCGAAATCAATACAATTGCTCGCTTGATCTGTTGAATTAAAGTTTCTTGAATTAGGAAACATTCTATTTTCTTATAAAACTCATCTTTTTCATGGATGATAAATGGATTGAATTCTTTTAGTTTGTCTATATCTTTTAGCAAGGATAAAATTTCTTTTTTAGTTGGAACAATTTTTTCTCCCATGATTCGATGTAAAATAAGCATATTCGTACCATCAGATTGATTTTCAATTGACATAATATTTTGATATATCTCGTTGAAAAGATTTTCATTCATTTTTTCGTATTCTGAATAATAATCAACTAGAATCTCAGTGAATTTTTCTATATTAGTGGATTTTAATTGAATTTTAGTTTTTGGTGTTTGCATATATCCAACAATGGTTGCTTCACTTCCAAGTTTCTTCAGAATTTTAGTATCTTTTATTTCTGTTGTATCTATTTTATAAAATTTTCCACCGTTTAACCAATATTGAAAGTGTTTCTTACATTCGCTATTAGAATAACTATAGTTTTCCACTATTCGTAGTTCAAATGATGACGTGTCTAATTTTTCATATATTAAAATACTGATTTTTCTTCGCTTGCATATTAATTTTAAAACTGATGGGCTTAGTATACGTTTCTCGCGATGATAGATTATATATCCTTTGAATAGATTCTCATTTTCGATAACTAAATCTTCGATATCTGTTTCAGCTTCATTTAAAGTCATAAGCCATTTTCTAGCTTCTCGTTTAAAATTCACATCCTTTTTTAGTTTTTCTAATTGTTGTTTAAGCGGTTCTAGTGCAATTGATTTGGTTAGAATATTTCTGTTGATTAGTTCATTGTTGATTTTCTGGCATTTAGCTTCGAGTTCGGTCTTCATATAAATTATTTTGTCTCGTTCATTACGAGATATATATTTTTTTGAATCTTCATTATTAGCCCATTTTTCAACATCTAAGAACAGATCATTTCTAATTTCGTTTATAGTAGTTTCTAGATGATTAAATTCATTTTCATAATTGAATTTTAACTGTTCTAAAATATCGATGCCTTTTACTGGTTCTTCTATCAAATAGGAAAAGAATTGTTCGTTGATTTTTACAATACGGTTTTGCTGCTCAAAACTGTCTTTCAAATCAGAAACAAAAGTTTCCCCATATCCTTTTGAAAATGCTATTTTAGCTAGAGAACCCTCAGGAAGCTCTTCCGGATCGAGAGGAAACTTTATTTTATCAGGGTAGTGAGATTTAAAATCAAAGAACTTTCGTAAATTTTCATAATGCTTTTTCATGTCAATACTTTTTGTACTCCATTTTGAATATGTTAAATATTCTTCATTAGTTTCGAAATACGAATAATTTTTATTAATCTGATTTTCAATATCTGCAACAGATAATGCCATTTTGACTTCAGATAAGTCTTTTGTATTGAGGACAAAGTAACCTATACTATGTGAATTAACGATTGTCTGACATTGACTAGAGATATCAATAAAAAATTCATAAAGTTCTTTATTTCTGGTCTTAGCAATAAGCTTGCCATGTAGAGTATCGAGGAAACCCTTCGGTATATCTGAGACATTCTTTTGTTTTAATATTGTTTCTAAATTGTTTTGAAATTTTAGTTTGAAATCTGTATCAGTTAATTTTCTTACACTAAACTTCGATTGTTGTTCTTCGTTAAGATAGTCATTTTTCAAGATTGACCAAATCGAACTTTTAATTTTCTTATTGGCATCGTTGTCAAGATCAGAAATATCATTTTCTGAAAATTTCATTGAATAGCTATTCAAATAATATTTTTGATTACAATCGATTTCACCCGTTTCTAATAATAGAAAAATCGGTATAGGTTTAAATGATTTTGGAAAGAGAGAAACTATGTAAAGCATCCTGATGAAAACTCTAACATCATCAGATGCTTTCAAAAACAAATATGCTAAAAATTGTGAAAAACTTTCTGTATTAAAATCACGCGTACTTTGTACATCTAAGGCTATGCGATAAAGTGAAACTATGTAAGAAAGTTCGAATTGAACGTTAATCCAATCACTAAACAGATTTTGAACAACACAAATTTTATTATTGTGAACGCGATAATCATTTATAAAATTCCTTTTCAAAGCATCTTTGACTTTTTCTTCAAACGGGCATTCTATGAATGATGTTTTGGAAAAAAAAGAGTTTTCTAAACGTTTGTAATCATTCGATACACTCATTACTAATTCAAGTTCTTTTTTGTCGCTTATTGCCTTGTAATAATCTGAAATTCTCGAGTTCGAATAGTTTCCGACGCAAGACGACAATAGTTTTCTCTCTTCTTCTAGTGTCAATCGACATCGTTTATCAATACGATCCTTGAAAATCAAGTAAAAATTAAAATGATATTTAACAAAATTCTTTTGTAAGAAATAATAACAAAGAGTTTTCTTACTGGCATCAGGTGAAATCAAAAAGTCTGTTTGATAACTACTTAATAAAAGATAAATTAATCGAAGAAAAATAGCATGGGTATTACGATGATGAGGATTTGATCCATGAGTAGCGTTTTTGAACATTTCTTCTGCTTGATCAGCATAACTTGACAACGGCTTTTCTGAATCTGGACAAGTATTTTCAAAAAATTTTAATATTATATTAAATTCTGTGTCTGAATATTGACAGTTTTGCCAACAGGTTTTAAGAATTTCAGAACAAATTTCATAACCATTCATTTCAAAGAACAAATCTTTATCTAAAGTAGCTGTTTTCAAATAGAGAAGAGCAAGATAAAGACTTCCAGCTGTTGTTTCCGAATTGAGACACTTTAAGGTTTGATCAATTTCATATGAAAAATATGCTGGCTTTCCAACTTGATTCGAATTAAATTCAATGGCATTAGAGAAAAATGCCTTTTCCGGTTTAATTGGACGATAAGGAATAATTATTTTTCGATTGAACTTAATTAAATCCTCGTTGACAATATCTGGTTCTATTAATAAATACTGCGTTAGCCCACACAGTGTATTAATATGTTGATTTAAACGTAAACGATAATCTTTAAAATTTTCCGACATGATTTTTTCATCCTCAAATTTGAATTTTAGATCAAGTCTTGGCAGATAAATTATGGTAGGTGTACTATCCTGCTCAAAATCTTTTAATGCTATTATATAATTTTCATCTTCGAATTGAGAAAATATTCTATACAATGCGTTCGACTGATCAAATCCGTCTTTAACAAAAGGAATAATAAACTTTTCAAATTCATCAAAAAAAATTTCATTACTATTTAAATCTATTATGAATTTTACTTTCTTATCGCCATCTTTAATATATATCTTATCGTTCTCATACCAATGAGTATAAAATTGTTTTTGTTCCTTTTCAATATGTGTACAATTCTCTAGCAAGAATTTTGGTAATTCACCTAAATAATTTTTTGAAACAAATGTCTGGTTCTCATTTTCAATCCAAATCATATCATTGCCTAAGGAAGTAATTCGAATTTTTCCCATTTCTTTTCCTTCTATTTCATAACAAAGTAATGTCTTTTCGAAAGCGTTCTGATCAGCAACGTGTACAGGAAAATTTTTCATTCCAAAGCATTCCTTATAATGTGGATTATTAACAATTTGGCTAGGCAAACATGCTAAAGGGTGACCATTTTTAAACAGACGACCTTTCAAAGGTGCAAATGAATAGCAATCTTTAACATATAGATTCATATTTGTATCTTTTTTCCATGATCCATTAGAGTTTTCAACGAAAGTATCTAGCATACTAAAGTTTTTATTGATATTACTTTCGATTATTGAACTTAATTTAAAAAGAGTTTCCATTGTTTTAACATAATAAATTGGTAATACAAAACTGTATAACTTTGTGTTATTCTCTATTAATACTCTTAATTTAAGAATTCTGAGAACTGCTTTTTCATCAATCTTTTCCATATTTTTATACGTTAAAATAAAATAACAACTTAAAATAGATACTAAAGTTTGATTATTGTTAACACTTGACGTATTATTGTTTTCATCTATGTATGTCCACAGTGCGGCGCGAACTTCATCAAGACAGTCGTCAATTAATTTTTTAGTTTTTCCAGAACAAAATTCATATAAATACAACAATATATCTAATCCATGATTCATCGATTTATATTGTGTAATTCTTTCTTTAAAATCTAAAACTATTTCAACGAATTTATTAACCAATAAAACAGCAAATTTTTCGTTCTGAAAATGTTTTTCTATCAAACAAGTTTCTTCGTAAGTCCCTAATTTATATAGTGCCTGTTTAACCAAATAGCAATGTTCTTCGAACTCAAAATTAATCTCATCGTTTTTTAATGCAACATACAAGAGTGTAAATTTGAGATCATCATATAACTGAATAGAACATAAACGGTAATATTGTGGTTTTGTCAAGTTTTCGGGCTTTTTATGTTGACTACCAATAATTTCATTTTCAATCATATTGCTTTCATTTTTTCGATCCCTATTAATTGTAATTAGTTTTTGATACTGGCTTTGATCTATAGGTAATGTAAAATCGGTAAACCTCTTTTTGTCACTTGAAGAATTCATTTGAATGCCTAAGCCAGAAATCGCAAGATACTTATCCAAATTACATTTAAAACGACTATAAATTTGTGTTCCGTTCGATGGTGCAGATTTTATTTTCTGTATAGCTTGTACAGGAAAACCACATAAAGATAATTGCGATAAATATGAAATGTCTCTCAAGTGTCTTACTAACTCCGGTAGATATTTATCAGTAAATAAAAGTTCTTTCCATCTAGTTTCCAGTTGGTCTGATTGAACTCCGTTGAGAGTTTCTTGAAATCTTGTATAATTACTTGGAAAATTATTTTTCAAAAGGCTTAACATATACTTCACATCAATGTTATTTTCATCCGAGTCATTACCAACTGAGAGTGATGTGTAATGAAAAAGGCAACGTTTCTTGGCTAGACTTTCTGAGACATCTGTTGAAAATATTTTAAAATACTTTTCAATTTCCTTTAATAGATCAAGCCATTTTCTTTCTGGTAAAGCTAACTGTGGAATGATAGATTTTAAAGATATGTTCTCTAAATCAGTACTTAGCATGTAATTTTTAAGGCTAGAACCCATTATTTTATCTTTTCTAACTAAATTATCTATCATCGCAAAAAGGCTAAATAGAATGAGAACAAGTTTTGTATAGTGACCCGGTTCGTACGAGCAATTTTCATCCGGATATAATTTAGCAACAACAGTAGCAGTACAGTTGTAATAAAGATTCGCCATACGAATTAGTATTCGAACTAATTCGACATGAGATTTTTCATCATTGAACGAAATTGCAAATCCATTATGTTGCACAATTGAAAATATAAAATTTTCTATCAAATAACTAATTTGAATTATTCGGTTAAATCCATAGTGTTGCGTGATTTCATCTAATATTTTATCAAATTTAACTAAATGAACTTGATTCGAACCTATTTCAGTATTTAATGTGTCACACACAAACTGTTTTCTTAAGATATTACTCGGTAAAGAATTCATATTACTAGTAATATTTTCTGTGATAAGCTTTATTTTTTTTAGAATTTCGGATAATATACTTTCGAAATTTTTCTTCTCAAAGTTCAAGTTTCTTACAGATTTCTTATTTCGTTTTTCTTTATTTAACCTTAAATTATATCGAAGGATACTTTCTTGTACCATCATTATATAATCAACGATTAATTTATTTTTGTTTAACATACAATTAGCGGCATCATATGCTACTTTATTACACATTTCATGTACTAGAAATTGATACTGTTGATGTTTCGATGTGTCGCTATCGCTAGTTGTTAATTCTGTATATTTTTCGAAACTATTTTGTAATAATTTAAGTTCAAACTCGCAAATTATATTGGTATATAAAGATCGCGCTTCTTGATCGTCAAAACATTTTTTCAATAAATAGCATAAGACCATTTTTACAAGTGTCCATGGCAAACTGAAAAACCCTTTCTCCTCTATATTAACAAAAAACTCTTTTTCTTTTCTCAAATTTCCTTCTCCACCTAATTTCGATAAAACCACTTCGTAAAGGTGTGCTGGTTCATAATTTCCAGTGCCGGCAATAGTTTTAAGAGTAATTAGAGGTAACAAAAAATTAAGATCGAAATTCTCTGATGGAATCTTTGCAATTTCTAAGCCTAAACTAATTTGATCCTTTGTAAGTTCACGAAATGATCTATGATAAGAACTTATCGGGTCTATTTGAGTTAATATTTTCGTTTCTTCACTTTCAAATTCAATAACACAGGCATTAGAGTGCGGACCAGTATACTTAGATTCTAACATTAGCAATTTTGTAAAACTATCATCTGCCCAATTAGTTTTCGCAAAACCACTAGGTAAAATACAGATACTCTGTAGATTACGAAGTCTGTATTTTAACAAATTTGCATAGTTCTTTACGTCTTGATTTTTTTCTGGAGATTTTTTCATTGCACTTACTACTATCAAATCAACAAGCCACTGCTTTAATATTTTAAATATAGCCTTTATTTTGCTTCGTTGCTCATTCGTAATCGAGAAAATTTTTCTAATGTTATCAGTTTCTTTGTTCTCAATTTTCAACAATAAATAATTTAATAACAAGTATAATATTTCTTTTTCGTCCGGTCTCTCTATTCCACAATTAGCAGTCATACTCGAACCATAGAAAATCGCAAACAGCTCACCGGTATTACCAGCTATCATAGCTTCAATTTCTTTTTCAACGAAAGATTTCAACTTGGAGTTTGTTTCAACCAGATTCAATGCGTATTTCAATACATCATCCATTCGAAGATGCATAACCATTTCAGCCATGTCTAAAACAAAATCAATGAAATGTAGTATTAATTATTCTAATGAAGTAGTTGTCTTTTTCTTGGTTAAGGCAGCGTCTGAAAAATACTCTTATTTATGATTCAGATGCAACTATCCTGGAATAGGAGACAGAAAGTCACAACTACACCTACACTGCCATGTCTGCCATTGACATTATTCCACTGTGTATGCCCTACATGATGACACATAGTATTTTCAGTAAAATCTTTGTTCGTTTTATGGAACTTACATATATTTTCGAAGAAAATCGTGAACATAAATTTTAAGGAGAACTATTATGCTAATTAGGCTACTATTTCGTTTATACCCAGGACGAACATTACAGTGGCCGTAAACAGCCGTGCACGATACCGTAAACGGTGAAACCCGACTACCGTAAACGTTAAAAACAGCGCCGTAACACGGTCGTATTTTGAACGAAACGACAGTTTACGATAACGAGAATCGCCGTATCTTAACACATACAGCCGTTTACGACCACCACGACTACCCTACACCAAAGTAAGCGGCCGTTTTCCATTCGTTATTCTCGATGATTTCACCTGCAAATCAAACAGATTTCATTCGGATTTCAAAACGATTTTATTTGGATTTGAAAAGGATTTCGCTTAGATTTCAAAAAGATTTCATTTGGATTTCATTCAGATTTCATTCAGATTTCGATTAGGTTTCAAAAAGATTTCATTTAGATTTCAAACAGATTTCATTTGGATTTCAAAAAGATTTCATTTGAATTTAAAACAGATTTCATTCAGATTTCATTCGGATTTCGATTAGATTTGAAAAGGATTTCGTTTTGATTTCAAAAATATCTCAAAACGATTCCACTTGGATCAGAGATAGGTTTCATTTCTGGGTCAAAAACACATTACCTTTCGACATGAAAATCAAGCGGTTTCTGAGAGAGTCGGAATTCGCTGAAACGTAAATGGGGATTTAAGGAAAAGCCGGAAACAAACTGAATCGTGGACATGTTACTTGACTTCAATGGGGAAAGGGGTCAAACGACGATTCAACGACAAGAACTCGAAGATAAATCTGGTTTCGCATCTTTAATCTAACCCTGAACTCACTAACTAAAGGGAACAAAAATCTGCCTATATATAGAAGTTCTCGAGCGAAACAAAAAGGTGAATGATTGCGCGACACGAAATCCAGGATAAATCTGATTTCAAATTTTGGATTTTAAATCTGTCCCTGAATTCAATAACCACAACGGAAAATATATCGTGAGGGCGTGGGTGTGGGTGTGGGAATCTGAATATGGATTAACGGTAAATAACAGTTATACCCGGATCCACGCGCACGCACACCCACACCCACACGCTCAAAGTTATCAATATCACTAGAAATCATGAGAAATCAGTAGAAATGATCAAAAATGATCCGGATTTTGTGGGAATCGACAGAAAGTTTAAGAAGTCAAAGAATTCATGTAAAATCGGGCTAATTTAGTTGAAACCTTTCAGACCGTTTGAAATGATTTCGAATGATTTTTAGCTATTTGAAGTAATCCCTTTTGTTTTCTCATGATTTCCTTGATTTCCAATGATTTCCAGTGATATCCATGATTTCTACTGATTTCGATGATTTCGTTCGATTTCATGCGATTTTGATTGATTTCGCCTATTGAAATCAGTTTGTTTCCCCTTGTTATCGCATATTCTGAATGTCGTTTACAGTCACCGTATTTTCACGGTAGTTGTAAAAGTGGAACGTTTACGTTCACTGTTTACGATTAGCGTAATACCTCGTAAAACTTCGTATCTGACCGTCGTCTACAGTCGCCGTATTTTCACGGTAGTCGTAGAAGGCGAACGTTTAGGGTCATTGATTAGGATTAAGGTAATACACCGTAAAACGTCGTATATGTCTTTCGTAAACGGCCACTGTAAGTAGCTATCGTTTACGATATTTTACGACATTATTCGAGCATCGTTTACTTTCTCCGTATTTTTGCGGTAGTCGGAAAAGGCGAAAGTTTACGGTCATTGTTTAAGATTAACGTAATACGCCGTAAAACGTCGTATATGACAGCCGTAAACGACCACTGTAAACGAATGCCGTTTTTGAACGTAAATGATTGGTGTACGGCCGTTTACGGCCGGCCAGGAACGACCTGGGATAGTTTAGTTAAAAAACAAAATAAGTGGTATCTAGCCGTTACAGAAACTAGCAACAACAGGGTGTGGGTGAGATGATCTCTTTATTATACGACACCCATGCCCAACTATTTCACTTGATTTATAGACGAGCACAGCTGCCGCAGCTGCTAGCACAAAAACAAACATAGGAATTACTTGGGTAACCAAAAACGTAAGTGAATAGTTGTATTAGGAGACGGATTTTTTTATAAAATATATCATACGTGCAGATGTCTAACGTGAAAATTTGTACGCCAACAAATAAAAGTAAGAAACTCGTTTATTTCATTGTCTTAAAAATGAGAATAAGAATCTTTATGAGAATAGAATCATTATATTATTTCTTAAATACACTGCAATCATAAAATATATTCTTAGATAGTATTATGATTTTTGTGATTAATAACGTAACTCATTTATAAACGGACAATGTATTTCCTTTATTAAAATTAGATCATTATTTATATTGTATCGTTACTCTGATGTTGTAACGTAAAGTATATATGAACTTTTATTTTTGAGGGGTGTTCAGCTTGATTTATTGAATTTTTATATCATCAATCGAATCCAGTGACTTAATATTGACAACATCAAGTTTGAATGAGAAACGAATAATATGATGAAATTATTCTATCGTGTTTCGGTTTTCAATAGGGTTTGCATTTTTATTTACTCCCTGAAAGATAGTTACGTATATAAAATCGTTTTCTTATCGAATGAGCACTGTTTATATACAATTTATATGGTGGGCCACAGTACCACATATTGATATGTCATATAAAGAACGAAAAAATACAGTTGGGACTGGAAGACAAGTTTGTTACAATGAAAAGTCTTTTGATTCATTGACGGAAGTGTACATTTTATATAAGAGAAAAAAATTCTGAATGCTTATTTGAAAAACAGCTAGTTACTAACTTCTTTTATCATTATTATTGTCTTTTATTTAGTCATCCTTTTATTTAGCTATTACTATTTTTATATACTAGATTCTTTATAAGTATCTAGTACGCCAGTGTAGGACTGACGAGGGATGGTCTCCAAGTGATACCAACCATTTGGGTTCATATTGTGTTCATAAGTAGGACCCAGTGAGACTAGAAAAAGTCCAAAAGATTTCGTGTCATTAGGCCTTTCTTTCAAAGTTATAACCGTTTTACTAAATTTTCGTCATTGGGCAAGGAATTTACAGAAAAACTGAATGAAAAATTTTCAAACTGAATTTTTTTGCCTAACAATAGGTCTCATCGATGTTAGAAGGTACCAACAATTTCAGTGAAAATGGATTCATCATTCTCGAGATACTGAATATTGAAGAGAGGTCAATTTTACGACATTTTTTTTGAAAAATGGTTGTTTTCATCAATATGCAATATCTCGAGAACGATGCATCCATTTTCACTGAAACTTTTGGAACCTTCTAACATCGACGAGACCTATTGTTAGGAAGAATTTCAGTTCGAAATTCCTTCATTCAGTTTTTCCATAAATTCCTTGCACATGGTCGAAAATTCACTAAAACGGTCATAACTTTGAGAGAAAGGCCTAATGGGACGAAATCTTTTGGACTTTTTCTAGTCTCACTGGGTCCTACTTATGAGCACAATATGGACCTGAATGGTTGGTATCACTTGGAGACCTACCCTCGCCAGTCTCTTTCAGTTTTATAGGCCTTCTATTCGTGGTTTCAATGCACAACAAGTGATTGAATATGCACCTTAGCTGCATATCGGGTACGTTGGTTCCAAAAACCTCACTTAAAAACCATAGAAAAATCAGTTCAAAGGCCTGTTGCATACGATTCGGAGCGTCTTTATCTCCTCTTTTCAACAGTGAAAGTCGCAGCTCTTTACCTTGTTTCTATCAAAAGTTACGTCATAATTACGATTGGCACTCATTTTGTCATTGGTAGTATACAGTTAAAAATTTAATTTTAAACATAATATTATTTCTGTACAGTCTCACATCTATTCGCATATATCTAGCTGGCTCGTAAATAATTATGACTGACCGTTTGATTTTGTATTCAGGTTGAATTTCACTTTCTCATGATTCTCTTTAGAATCTCCGGAAGATGGTTTGATTTTAAGTTTCACTGTTGCCACTGTCGGTTGATAGCGCACTTGAGAAATCCGTTGGAGTGTATTGAACGGATCTGGTAATGGAACAGGCTCGAGCAGCTCGTACTCTGGAGTCACTTCTATGAGCTGCACAATATGAAGTTCATTGCCGGAATTAAGACAAGATTTCACCTGAAATTTTCTAGCAGGTAATAAAAGTAATTCGTCTTCACCGGGCATGAATGAATGTTTTCTTATGTCCTTTGCAGTTATAGATTTTATTTCAAATAGAGTTCTCTTTCCAGTTTTTCCAAAAAATAGTGCATTTTCCAGAACTTTGACCGATGAAGTGCATGAAGAGAATCCCCACCAAACGAAACTCTTGCCCTCAGGATAATCAGTTGAAGAATTGTTTCGTATTCCTCGAAAAACAGAACAACACTCGGACGGAAGACATGCAAGTGCCGTCAATATGAGTCGAAGATATCGGAACCATGGAATTAAATTTTGCCTTTGTTCAGAACGTAAAATTTCATTAAGCTTAACGTACAACGAGTCTTCATGTGGCGTTGACTCGTATGTGTACAGCATAATTGAAGCTGATTGATCAATCGTTAAGCCATCTTTGGGTTGTTGACAGTTCTGTTTGACTATTTTTACATTTCGCTTGACTTTTGGTACGATTCCAGCAAGAGGTTGCACAGCCTCCTCGAGAGTTACTAATGGCATATTTTCATAACCTTCGATAGGTGCCAACATTTTTTCTGGTAATGAACCCACATCAACAACGCGTAACGAACAATATTTTCGGGTGGTATTGCTTTCAGCCATTTGAAAATTTGAAATCTAGAACAAAACATTGATGACATTCGTTACAATGTGGATGAGTGCATGGTTGAAAGTAAGATGAAGTTTTTCTCTCACATCCTTACTATACAGAACCAGACATATACCGAACCCGGGAAAAGGTAGGCAATCCTGAAGTTCGGTAATGCCCGGCTTTGCTGGTTGTCTAATGCAGGCAACAGCGCAGGAATAACTAAAGCCAGTATTTTAGGTATCGGGAAAGAACGAATTCGAGAATGTCAAACTCCGAAGGATTCGAACTGGATGCATATATATCCAGAATATCTCTTCTTGAATGCTCACACTATTGATCAAGTCTTTGAGCGACTTAGGAAGAGGACATCATTACAAAGCGCTCTTGTACAATGTTAGTTTTTTCCTATGAATGATTGCCATACTAGAAGGTTTTTATTTTAAAAATGCAACGTAACATTACTGCAAATCAATAGATAACAAGACGCACTCTTAATTGGACAAATACATACGGTGTGGATACCAGTACTATGGGTGAACCATTTAATTTAATGCGAGCTGATTAACGCCGTTAATTACCTAAAAGCGTTAACCATTAATATTAACGGTTACCGGTTTTAGCTAACGTTTATTTTGAATTAACGTAAGCGTATCACGCCAGGACTGGGCCATTTTATTTAACGCTAGTTAATTGACAGCGTTAATTAACTAAAACGTTAACGTAAATGTACCACCTCTGATTGTTAGTGATGAAATAATAAAAATATCGGATAGGTCAATTTTTTACAGATGGAAATTTTTGATGAAAATGTTAAGACTTTTTCTAAGACAAAATTTTATCTGCCAAACTTTTGAGGACATCATTCAATGCGTTCTATCAAATAAGACTACTTTCAGTGGATTCGATCTCACTGATCCGACTTAGTTGCCCAAAATACGTGGGCATGCTTTCTGAAAATCAAATATAGTGTCCTCGAAAACTATTGCTGGATGTAGTACTTTTATGACTATCAAAATATAGCCCGTAATTGATAGTATCTTTCACGTTAAAAAAAAAGGGTTTATGAAACGTTGCACTTTCATAAACCCTTTTTCTGTTAAATACCCTATCAAAAACGTTTTTCCCGTTTATTATTCTGCGGATTTTTCACAGTGTATGAATAATCAATTCAAATGCAAGTTTAATATAATAAAATGAATTGGTGTTTCTTTTAATATTTTAGGTATATGCGAATAATTCATTTAATGGTAAGTTGAATCTTACAATATAAGTCACTGTTCTTTTTTATTTTGTTTAGGATGGTCTCAACAACAACTAACGGCGATGCCGCTTTCGTGTGAATAACGGGCAAAGTGTTAGCTCGTATTCTACTTACAACTGATCTGGGTAAATATAACACATAGAAATAAGGGTTCAATTTAGAATTTAGGTTAAGGTTAGAATTAAGGATTATGGATAGAATTAAGGGTTAAGGTTAGGAATCGGGGTTAAGGTTAGGAATAAGGAATTAAATATGAAATTAATGGTTGGATAAAACATTAGCCTAGAGTAACCCCCCC